GGCGTCCCCCATTTCTTGCAATGTCCACAACTGCCCAGCCAAGGGCCACCACTGCTCACCACAGTCCACCACAACTCACCACGGCCCACCACTGCCCACTGCTCACCACAGTTCACGACAGCCCACCATTGGACGAGAGAGAGAGAGAGAGAGAGAGAGAGAGAGAGAGAGAGAGAGAGAGAGAGAGAGAGAGGAGAGAGCGCTTGACGACAACTCGCACGATCTGGCTGCTGCGATTCATAGTTACACTACATACGACTGTGACGAAACGGTCTGCGCACAGTGAGGTACCACGGCCAGCCCACGGGAACCGGTTTGCCCGTTGGGAAAGCAGCCTTCCCACACGGGCAAACCGGTTCCCGTGGGCTAGGCTGCTTTCCCAAAGGGCAAACCGGTTCCCGTGGGCAAAGGCAAACCAGTTGTAACATCTGGGCCGTCGGGACCTTTCGGATTGACGATCCCGATCGGCGAGCAGTTTTTAGATCTGAAGACTGTGCGCCGATCGGGACCGTCAATCCGAAAGGTCCTGACGGCCCAGATGTTACATTTGTTACATCGCACAATTGATCTGGGCCGTGGGCCGGTAGGACCGACAACGGCCCAGATCGGCGATTTGTTACATACTGCGGGATAAACAATTTCTATAGTGTAGGGAAATCACACGCGCCTCAAAACTGTGCACCCACTCACTCCCTATTTTTCCTCTTAATACACAGTCGATCACAAAAAAAAAAACTGGCTGCGGCTCGCGCGGTGTACCCAAATTTCGCATCCAAATTTTGAATCTGGACCTGTTTTTGTCACTTGCAAAAAACAGGGCAGATATCCTTGTAAGGGTATTCACACCGACACCGCCTTCGCCATCTGTCCACTCTGCTGGAGCGCTTTGCCAAATGACGTATCACTGGAGGCTGCTTGGTGCCCTTTTGGAGACCCCTGCTGTGCTACGTTCTGAGCGTAACCAGCATTCCTCACCAGCATCTTGCTGTGGGAGGAGACTGCCTTTGGCTGCTCTCTCAATGATGTGGCACTACGTTTCATGCCAGCCGCCTAGTTTTTTTATTTTTTTATTTTTTTATTTTTTTATTTTTTTATTTTTCTATTTTTTTATTTTTTTTAGCTGCCTTCTCCTCATTGGGGGACAGCCAAAGACTCAGATAACTGGGATCTTAGACATTTCCTGATGTGATTCTATCATTCTCATTAGATGACCCATATTTACTTATTCATTTTCTTTCTTTTTTTCCTGCAGTCTTGTCCCGTTTCTCTTTCTCCCAGTTTCATTTCCTTTCTATTAACCTTCTTCTCTTGCCCACCCTTTCAATGCTGATTCTAGTTACTGCTCTGCAATATTATTTTTCCTTCTCTCCACTCTCCCTCTCCTCTTCTTCTAACTTTCACACCCATCTCATCACCTTCTCGCCTCAGCTTTTTCATGTTTTTACCTACCGTCTTCACCCAAATAGAACGCCCGGTCATTATAGCCACATTTGGCGCAATCTTCAGACGATATGCAGCTATGATGACCAAGCGTTCTATTCAGGTGAAGACGGTAGTCATGCATTGTATCGCACAATCTAGTATAACCCAGGCCACATAATACCAACCAACCTACATACTGCACATAGTACCACCTAGAAGTGCCAGGGTATGCTCTTTTTCGTTCATGCTTTCTGAGCGCCGTGTCTGTGTGTGCGTGTGGGGGTGGGTTCTTTCTTAAAGCACCAGTACACCACACATTGGCCCGCGTGTGTGAGCACGAAACCCCCACCACTTCGGAGGCCAATTTTTTTTTTCAACAGCGCCCCACGCTGCGCGGCCCCTCCGAGTTTTGCTTGTGGCGAGAAAAACTCTCTGCAAGGCTGGGGCCGTGTACTTGCGGTTTAAAGCAGTAGTACCTTCGCCGATGTCCACAAGCGGTTAATGGAAGGCCCAGAATTCAGGCTTTTCGCCGAATTTTGGGCCTTCCATTAACCGTTTCTCCCAATGTCGGGAAATTACGGAAACGGACTGTTCCCGAAGAGTTGAGAGCCGGGCCCGACGATGGCTGCCATTGATAAATCTCATCGGTGGCCGTCGTTTCGTTTTGACCTCCTAAAAGGTTGCAGGCCCACCTGAGGCCCACTATTTTCCCACTCAGCAAAGGTACTACTGGTGGATTCTCTTTTTTCGGAGAGGGTTCTTTTTATTTATATTGATTAGGAAAGGGGATCCTGCAGCCTAGTCACATAGCATCACACACACACACACACACACACACACACACACACACACACAGAGAGAGAGAGAGAGAGAGAGAGAGAGAGAGAGAGAGAGAGAGAGAGAGAGAGAGAGAGAGAGAGAGAGAAGGCAAGCTGCGTCACACAGCTTGAGCAGCCATAGGCAAGCACATACAGAGGATCGAAGACATGAGCAAGCCCACACATTTAAAAATTGACTGCAAACTTGATTATAAACTGCAAAAGAGCAACCGTGGAGACCCTCAACGGGTTTCACCCGCCCGCGTGTGGGTCTCCTCAGGACGGTGGACTCTTGTGAGTCCGCGTGCTCGAGAAGGAAGCGAAATTCCTTGCTTCCCTTCCTATATACTATTAACCCTCACGCCACCAACCACACGTATCACACGGCCCCACCCACCAGTTCTGAGGAACAGCTACCTTCAAGAAGGCGACTACCATCGCTCGAGTTGTCGTCGAGAAGTAAATTTAGCGAGTGTCTCACCCGCCAGTCAAGACTCATGCTCGTCGATGAATGCAGCTATTTCACTATCTTCCTACAAATTTCTCTAAATCGTGAAAAAACGTCCAGATATGGTGGTACAGCCGAATCCAGTATGCTCTACTGCATGTGAAGCCTCGCTGATACCCGCATGTAGTCCAAAATTACGGCCTCGTACCTCCAAAACCTGGAAAAGCCAGAGTTCTTTGTTGAAAATGTCCCGCAAGGCACCCGGGACTAACCTAACCCCGGGACAGAGACACCGAGCTAAAATAAAATAAAATAGACAGCTCGCACCCCAGGACCTGGGTCCAACCCCGGTTTGAAGACAAAACAAAGGATTATCAAAACATTCGAATCGCAGCCTTCGGGTCCAAACCTGGGTAGAAGACAAAAACTCGAAACTAGATAAAAGCTAGAAAAGACAGAAAAATTGGAAAGGGCTATACCCTGTAGCCCGAGAGGCTGCTAACCTAGAGCCAACAGCAAAGTCTTGAGTGCTCTGTTGGGCACAGCCTTCGCCGAGTTGGCCAGGCCGAGAGAGAGAGAGAGAGAATAGGATGTTGGGCTGCTGTTGTAAGAGGAGACGATCAACGGAAAAGGAGGGGGGCGGGGAGGAGGCAGATGGTATAGGGCGGAAACCACAGCGGACGGTTTTCTGTACGTGGTTGCATTGTTGGGCACCATCTTCATTGGTACTCTCTGTGACCATGCACACACAGACCTGTGCTGTTCTCCTGTACCTCTTGGCTCCTCTTAGCCATATGATTAGTTGACTCTCACCTCCGTCTCTAAAACATATGGATTTCTATGCTTGTAACTGCTTTATGGTTTTCTGCTGAGTGGAAACACATAACTCTGTAAAATCTGCATCCTGCTTTGTGTACTTCTCTTCCTTCCCCCCTCTGTGAGCAACTCCCTAATGCATACAACTTCTGCACATAACGTTACTTTTCCTACGTGTTGCTTTAGATTTTATAAAGAAATAAAATCTGCTAATCCACAACCGTAACGGACGAACGATTTCTACATATGGCTTTTCAACTGCCAAGACGTGTGCAGCAAGGAGAACATCCAAAAAATACGGTTATTTTGACTACAGAACTGCCCACCAACTTAGAAGACAATCATGCCATATTTCATGCATTTGGGACGATTTTCAGGTCAGATACAGACATGATGACCCATCTTTTATCTGGGGTGCAATTGTATTGCTTTAAAACCCAATGACATCCTCTTCCAGATGGAGATAAGTTCATCTTCTCGCATTTAAGCAGGGAATGTCCATGAACAAACATTCTGCTAAGGTTTGGAAACACCAAAACTAACCCCGGCAGTATAAAGCTATTTGTACAGATTCCCAAGTGACAAATCTGCACTGGATGTTCAGTTGCACAATCCCATCCTGAGAAGGCCAGATGTGCGTGCTTTAAAAATCATAAATCACTATTTCTGGCCTTCACCCCACAAACAATCATCATCCCCCAGATAATAACTTGGAAAATTTGTCTGGCGCCCCTGTAATTTGCGTTATTTCCTGTCGCGCCCCTCCGACAGCCGATGTACCCTGTCGCGCCCCTGGGCCAAAAAATATTTTCTGCAGGCCCCTGTCGGTAGTGACCACAACTTTCCAGGACGCCCTCCTTGGACTGACGGTCGGGCCCTGTGCCATATGCCCTCATGACGGGCAGCCATCTTTCTGCAATGCCCCCGCCGCCGTGAGGCACCACAAATTCGCATTTCCATCCGGCCCTGTGCCATATCGTCCGCTTCCCTGCAAGTGTGTGTGTGTGTGTGTGTGTGTGAGAGAGAGAGAGAGAGATAGAGAGAGAGAGAGGGAGAGAGAGAGAGAGAGAGAGAGTCAACTCACCCTCTCTCTCTCTCTCTCTCTCTCTCTCTCTCTCTCTCTCTCTCTCTC